TTAAAAAGTATTTCCAAACTTTCTCAATTTATCACACACAAAACTCAACATTCAACCAAGAAAAATCTGATATTCAACAAATTTCGTAATGGGATCCAAATGATATGGTCCTAGAGGTAATTTTTTTTTCTCGAATCTTTAAGTGTTCGTGTAGTTCGTGTGTCTTCACACGGAGCCTGACAAGGCTCTCGTGTGAATTCACCCGAACTCGTACAATTTTTTTTAATAAATATTTTGTTAACTATATCAATTTAAAAAAACAGAAAGAAATATACGTAGACGCTGATGAAGATACATAAGAAGTATTCGATTTAGATGATTACAATCAATATTTCTTTATTTCGACCGCGTTTGATAGTAAGGAAGCACTTGTTGAGTGGACTATGAACACGTCCCTTAGTGAGGATCATGAAATTAGACGTCAGTCTTTTCATTAAGGCACACAATATTTAACCTATAAAAAACAATGAAAGAATATCAATGTCGAAAAATCTAAAAGTCTAATACAAAGAAATGCAAGTTTTCTTTTGCATTACGGGGTAAAGAGGACCGTGATCGGTGTGCATAACCCCCATAACAACGTAAAATTTACCTCATATCTATTATCGTCTCGATTGCGATCTGAGTAAGGAACTCCGAAAGCTTAAGATAATTTGGATTTTTGAATAAAAATTGACTAGAAATTTTAATTTTTGACCGCACACATGCAAAAATCAAGCCCTATTTAACCCTCCATTTAGATATGTATAGTGACACGATATCCAATTTGATTTGATTCGATGTATTTGACAAGATCGTGGGTTGTAGCATATATACATTCCTAGAAAAGAAAACAAAAAATAAAATTAAAAAATTAAATAAAACGTAAAAGTAATAGAGAAATTTAATGAACATAATTGTTGGTGGTCCCCACCTAAACAGTTCTAACCCACACCTCCCCATCCCACCCTTTTGTTTTTGTCGTCTCTCCCGTTTCCGCCTTTCCTCCGTCGTTCTTTTGCATTTGACCCACGCCCTTCTCTTTCTCTCTCTAAAAACAATACACACTCTCTCTCTCTCTCCTCTCCTCTCTCTCGTCTATGCCTCTAATTCCACGCGCCACCTTCATTTTTTCCTCCGTTCTCATCTACCCATTAGCGATGATATATACTGAGTGATGAGTTTTACTTTCTCCCCCCTTTCTCTCTCTCTCTCTCTCTGTTTTGGTGTTTTATTTCCTTGATCTTTTCGTAGCGCTGGTGAATTAGATACGTGAATCCCCCTCCTTTTTTTTTTCTGTTCAAAATTTCGAGAATTTGTATTCTCCGTTTCGTGTTCAGAGAAGCCAAATTAGAAAGGAAAAGAATAAATAAAATTAACATCGAAGAAGTGGTTTATCTAAAGCACAGAGGAGTAGTTGGGATTCAAAGCGATAGTTGGAAATTTCATTCTCTTTTGGACTGATCATCGCGTTAGATCCCGATAGGGTGATCTTATGGCGGCCAGTAGTGAAGTAAATGTCAACGAATCGAAGGTAATTTTACAAACCCTTGTTTTATTTGCGTTTTGAAATTAGGGTTTCTTATTTTTCCCCTTGTTATTTGTTTAATTATTTGTGATTAATAATGGGGTTTGAGCTTGTATTTTTTGGAAGGAAAAAGTTAATTTGGTTGAAAGAGGTACCATTTATTGTTAAAGATTGAATCTTTTTTTATTTTTATTTTTTTCTATTTTGAGGGTTTGAGTTGCCCTTATCTGCTTATCTCTATATCTATTTTTGTTTTTCCTTTTCATTCTCCCCCTTTCTTTTTGTTTGGTTACTACTCATTTGGCTAACCAATTTTATGCTTCTCTGCTGGGTTATAAAAATATGTGTTTCCTCTATCACTCCATTTTCTTTCTTTTTATGGATATTTGCCTAATTTTCCTTTTCCCTTTAAGTCCTTTTCCTTTACAGCTGTTTTTTTGAAATTGGGTTGATGATACAAATTTGAGATCATTGTGTAGATTCGATCGATTTTTCAATCTCAATATCGGTTTTGACTTCTCCGAAACATTGACTCGGGTGGTCTCTTTGTGCAGAGGGTGGTTCCCCTTAATACATGGATCCTTATATCCAACTTCAAGCTTGCTTATACCATGCTCCGACGCCCCGACGGTACGTTCAACCGAGACTTGAACGAGTATCTTGACCGGAAAGTGCCTGCAAACGCTATTCCAGTAGACGGGGTTTACTCTTTCGATGTTGTAGACCGTGTGACAGGACTTCTTAACCGTGTTTACTTGACTGCCGGTGAAAATACGCCTCAATGGGGGATTATGGAAGTGGACAAGCCCTTGAGCACCACCGAAATAGTGCCCGTGATCTTATTCTTCCACGGCGGAAGCTTTGTTCATTCCTCAGCCAACAGTGCTATCTACGATACATTCTGCCGCCGCCTCGTCACCACTTGCAAGGCGGCAGTTGTCTCTGTGAACTACCGGCGGTCGCCCGAGTACAGGTACCCGTGCGCTTATGATGATGGATGGGCAGCCCTCAAGTGGGTCCACTCAAAATCGTGGCTAAAGAGTGGGGAGAAGGATAGTAAAGTTCACGTTTATTTGGCGGGTGATAGTTCTGGTGGTAACATTGCCCACCATGTTGCTGTTCGAGCGGCAGAAGAGGGTGTGGAGGTGTTGGGTAATATTCTTCTTCATCCTCTGTTTGGTGGGGAAGAGAGGACAGAGTCGGAAAAAAAACTCGACGGGAAATACTTTGTGAGGATTCAAGATAGAGATTGGTATTGGAGAGCCTATTTACCGGAAGGAGAAGATAGGGATCACCCTGCGTGTAATGTGTTTGGGCCGAGGAGTAGGAGCCTCGAGGGGCTGAAATTACCGAAAAGCCTTGTCGTTGTGGCGGGATTGGATCTACTTCAGGATTGGCAATCGGGATACGTGGAAGGGCTCAAGAAATTCGGTCAAGATGTGAAGCTTCTTTTTCTTGAAAAGGCGACTATTGGGTTCTATTTCTTGCCGAATAACGAGCATTTCCATTGCCTAATGGATGAGATGAGAAGCTTCATCGAATCTTGACTGTTGATACATAACACTCCAATTTACAGGCGCCTAGCCATATATATATATATATATAGCCGAAGCTTGACTTTGTTTACTCGTGTACTCGGGGTTCGTTTTTTTCTTCTCCCTACTCTTTTAGAAGTTATGGTGTGTAGTAATATGGTTGTGTAGAATTTCAGTTTCTCCGTTTCTCTGCGTTTGAAGATGATCGAGCTGGTCTCTTTTGGGTGGAAGAGCCATTCCATATCGGAAGCTCATAAACCTACAGCGGTGGTACTTTGAGAATTGTAACTAATTTCATAGTGTTAGTGAATTTGTTCATTCCACGGTTTCTCAATGACTTTCGGTCTACGGTCAACTACTATGATAAAAGCTAATTCAGCTGAAGGATATAAGGATAAACGGATGCTGCTGTTTGGTTCTGTATTTTCTGATACTTGTGGTCTAGAAATATATATATATATATATATATATATTAGTTTTCTTGTGTTTGTATGTAAGTAACAAAGCAAACTTTCCTTCTATATTAATACTAATCTTGTAATGGTTTTTGCTCTCGAATTATGAAGGATTATTTATACACACACATATATATATATATATATATATATATATATATATATATATATATATATATATATGCCAAGATGCCTGAAATTGTTTGCTTTTCAGCGAAGATATTTTGTAAGAGAAAATCCAAAATCCAAAACAGTGTTTAAAAGGGGAGGACCACGGAATCGCGTTATGAACCCGCCCTCACAGGATCCAAACCCCACCACTAAAAGAAAACCCCGTCCACCAAAAAGCAAACGAAGAAAAATGATTGGAAGGGAGCCTCAAAACAAATATGGATATCACTATCATTTGATGTTGATGTTTATTAATTCTTGGACTCCAAATCTTGATTGCTTCTTCATACATAGATAGGCTACTCTTTAATTTTGAGCTTTCCCATTTAATTTACTTACACCAACTAACTACTAACCTTTTATTTTTTCCCCTCTCGTGAGGGTGTCAAATAGCTCGTGTTTGCAAAAGCTTATTTAGAAATTGAAGTCATGTATTGTGAGTTAAGTTGCTGTTAAGTGTTTATTTCTGAAAGTTTGGGATATTTGCAAATATATTGACAGGTTATTGATGATTTTCAAATTATAGTTAAAAAAAATTATTTTAAGAGAAGTAGAAGTAACAGCTCAAGCTGCAAACACTTCAAAAGTGATTTTGAGCCCTAAAATGGCCAGAATCACCTTTCAAAAGATTTTGCAAACACCGCCTTCGTCTCTAACTTTAATCCCGTAAACAATGTATTAACTAAAACCAACATTAAATCTCTTTTCCCTAATATAGAGATGGACATTTGGTATGAAATTTTTTCATCGCAAGGAGATTTATGCAAAATCAATTTATTCATTTCAATCTCGAATTTTTTTTTTCTAAAACGAATTCAATTGAAGGATGACAGTGTCATTGAAAAAAGGGAGAAAAACAAAAGTTTCATACAATAAAATGAAAAGAAATTTGGGGGATTTCCCCTAATATAGAGATTTGAGCTTAATTGCTTTTTTTTTTTTTTTTTTATTTATTTTGATTCACAAATGTTGTGAAATGATTAGGTGTATCTTCCTCAATGAATAAATGTGATTTCCAAATAATAAACAAAAGAAAGTTTGATGGTACAAATAAAAAAAGGGACCACTTAGAAACAAAAAAATGAAAAAACAAAATCCCCATAAAAGCGCTTTTGAATTTGAGTAGTTGGGATTACTTTAAAGTAAAATGGTAGAAAAAAACAGCTAAGCTTAGACAATGACATGAAATGAGATATTAAAACCACTCAAATACATGTCCTTTGTTTCTCAATACTGTATCTATCTATCTATCTATCAATAATAATAATAATAATAATAATAATAATAATAATAATAATAATAGTAATAACAATCCCTTTTTTTTTGTTGTTTTATTGTATTATTTATTAATTGAGGTTTGGTGTCTATTCCAATTGTTATTTTATTCACTCCTTTTAATTATGATGATTTGTCTTTTTATTGGATAGCTGGTTTTGTTGTTTTGATAATACAATGGGCTTTTTTTTGCAGGACAAGAATATGAGGTCATTGTCACTAGTTGGAAGTTTTGTTGAAGACATGTTTTTGTTAAGTTTGTTTGTCATCATCTCACTGTTAGCTTGTAAATAGCAAGGTCATAAAAAACGGGAATTTGATCGGAGGCGGTTAGACACCGCAGCACGATTAATCGGCGATAGATCTGTTTTTTATTTTATTTTAATGTAATATATTTTTAGATATTGTTTGTAAATACTCAAAACATATATAAAAAAATATTTAAATATGATTATACCCCATCGTTTAAATATCCTAATCACGTAAGAAAACTTTAATAATAAAAATAATAGATCATAATATAGTTAACATTCTTACAGAATACAAAATAAAATGAAAATCTTCTGCATTAAAAAATTACGCTTGAATATTGCAAGCTTATATTATTAAGTTCTTTAAAAATAACAATTAACATAAACAAACAAAGTATAAACTCATTTTTTTAATCAAAAGCCCAACTATTTGACCACCTCACAATCCAAACCAATTTTTTAGACCTTTATATCAAACTCATAAAAATATTTGATCGCCACCGCCTCAAAAACCGATTTTTAGCCACTGCTAAATAGTAATTGAAGTAAGTTTTTGTTTGGTGGAGGAGAAGTTGATATCATCCTCCACTTATGTTCATGTTTGTAAGGTGACATTTGTAATAATATATAATATATGACTAGAGCTCCAAATCAAATAAAACTATTTTGATGGCTTTTGAGATTCTACATTTGGTGAAATATACTGTATGGTTTTAAACCGTATATCTATATAAATAACTACCCATTAAGCATACATATACATTGATGTGTGTGTTATTATGTGTAGATATACGGTTTAAAAGCACATGATATATTTCACCAGGTGTAGATTGTACAAAACCCTACTTTGATATACGTTACGAGACCAATCACTAACAGTTGTTAGATTTTGATCCAATAATATAATAAATCAAATTTAAAAACATTTATAGTTGGATTATTGGATAAAAATAAATAAAACGATATATTCAATTGATCTTATTTATTGAGGGCAGTTCTTCATGATTCCATAATTTTGGAATACTTGATTATTATTTTTTTAAGTAAAAAATAGAAATACATTAAGTAGGGGGATTGTTTGAAAATTATGTCGGCACTTCAATTCTTTCACATTGAAAATCTAATATTTCAATAAGCAACATGCCAAAAATAATTATGG